TTAGTATGCACCTCCACTAGATCTCCCCTCACCACCCAGGACAAGTCGTATCCCATTTCTGTCCGTCAATTTCCTCCACCCTCTGAAATGTTCCATCATCTCCATGTGATACGGTCCCATTTGCAGAGCAGAGCTGTTAATGGTGGTTAACAATGGGTGCTAATGTCTAGAGATAGTTAGAGTTTGTTATGCGAGGATTAAATTAAAATTAGTTGGTTAGTTAGAATTCTTAATTAAATTGTTTCATAACATTTTTGTGTTTGTAAGGCACTACTATGTAAAAATAATAATTAGTGTTTAGAATTTGGATTGCAAAATAATTTTTTATTATGATAATTTTTCCTTTTAAATTGTAGAGTTTATTCCCATCGCTTCAATATGTTACTCCCAATAGTATGTTTTATTGACAATTACTAATAAACATAATGTTAAGCATATGCAAGAGATTATGAGAATCACACAAAAAAGAAAAAAAATGCTAGCCTAATTGAAAAGAAAGCGAATAAATTATAAAAAATTCTTATAGATATCATTGATTACACTACGATTACCATATTTAAATTTAATATGAAAATAACTAAGATATTTTAGTAATAATGCCATTCTATTAGAAGAAACAAATTTTAAGTTTATGTCATAAGCATATAATCAAGCTGTCTGGTGGTTCTGAGACAGTTTCTTTTTTTTTTTTTTCTTTTTTATGGCCCATTTGATTTGAGAGAAAAAAGCAAGGTGATTTTATTTTTCTCAAATCAAACAGAAATTAGAAGGGAATTTATGGACGTTAGTCCTATTATACATTCTTCATTTATTTAAGGTTTCTTAGTAATTTAAAAAATTAAAAAACAGACGCTTTATTTAACTAAATTATCAATATCACTACTTTTTAAAGCATGTTTAGTTTGAAAAATAGTTGAAAATTTCTATTCGTATTTTTCATTTTTCATTTTTTGTTGATTCCATGAGACAAACACTTTACAATATACTTTCCTTGAATTTTATGATTCCATGAAATTAATAAATTCCCTAAATTCGGAATATTTCAAAAAAATAAAATTATTTTCTGTGGGCACCCACATGGCCCGTCCAAGAAACATGCATGATGCGTGCCGAAGCTACATAAAATCATCAACGGTGCATTTTGCTTAACCATCTTTGTTTTCCCTAGGGAGTATCGGTATCCTATCCTCTCTGCTTCGTCTTCATTGCGTATTCCCTAACTTTTCTTTTATATAGTTTGTTTGATTTGAGGAGACGAAGGAACTTTTTTTATCTGAATAAAAAACTTAGTTAGAAAGGAGAATAGAAATAGAAATTTAATTTTCTCAAAGCAAACAATACTTAAAAGGGAATTGATGCATGCTCTTCCTATGATATGTACTCCTTCTATTTATCTTACATTTTTAGTAATTTTTAGTAATTTAAAAAACAAACACTTTATTTGACGAAATTATTATTATCATTACTTTTGAATTTGTTTAGTTTAAAAAATAGTACTCCATCTATTGCATTTCCATGGTCATATTTATTAAATTTAAGTGTTTTAATTTAGTTGTATTATTTTTAATATAAATAAGGTATTAAATGCTAATTTTTTTAATTTTATTTCTATTATTTAAGTTTATTTATAGAGATAAAAAAAATGCTTTGTTAGTTAAGATCTTGTGATTGTTCATTGTTCGATTGTCTTACTTATTATACATGTAACCAAGTAATAGCTTTTTTTAAATAAACTATAAGCATTTGTATCATTATATTTTAAGTAATAAAAATTTATACTTTGCATTAAAAACTTTGTTATCTTAACTCTTAGTTATAAAATTTTAATCAATCTTAAATTTCTTAAATACATGTAGAGTAAAAAGTGGGAGAACTAAAATAAAAGAATGGAGTATAAAATTTCCACTTTCATTTTCCATTTTTCATGTTTTATTGATTCTAAAAATATTGGCCTAAAGTAGGGTGTTCGCGATGTGATTTGGTTTGGATTTTAATATTTTTTAAACCAATCCAATTTAATCGGTTAATAAAATTTTTAAACCAATCTAATTCATTATTATATGCTAACTAAACCAATCCAATTTAAATCGAATCAGTGTGCTTCAATCGGATTGATCGGTTTTTAATATTATTAAATATATATAATAATGTAAAAATATTTTAACATTGAATAGAAAGCAAAACCATAAAACACATTAGCATGCAAATCAGTAAAAACATAATAAAAAGTACAAATTATAAACGAGTTTTTATATTTCTTTACATTTGTAAACATTGAAAAAATTTGAAAATTCTTCTTGGTTACATCACTAGAGGCACTAAGAACAATAAAAGATGATTTTAAGTTTTTAACACAGTGTAAATAATTCTTAAAAATTAAAATTAGTTTTTTTCTTAATGTATTAATAATTTAATCCCATTTTCTAAATCTTGTTAAAAGTAAATAAAATTTAACATGAATATCACTAAAATTGATTAGAAGCATTCATAATCGAAATTTAAAATTTCTAAACTAAATATCCAAGAATAGTAGAATATCAAAACTAATTTTAATATATAGTTTTAAAACTTTTAGAATGATACTTATTTAAAACTTAATTAGGAGAATTATAAGATTATTTTAAAAATAAATTAGAAATTTAGGGTTCTATGAGTAAAGACGTAAATCAGTTCTGAGGGAATAGAGTTATAGGTGAATTAGAAATTTAAAATTAGGGTTAGAGTGCATGATTAAAATGAAAAAATAACTCAGGGAATATGAAGATATTTTATTTTTATTTTTTAATTAAGTTAATGGAGTTATTATCTTGTAAAATAAGAAAAAGAAATTTTAAAATACTAAAAAAATATATTATATTATTTAATTAAGTTATCTTGTAATCAGATTCTATTTTATAATCGGGCAGTTAGGCGGTTTAAGGGTAAAACCATAAATCAAATCAATTATATTAGTTTTAAAATTTTATAATTCAAACCAACACAATTTTATATCGATTTGGATCGATTTTTAATTGAATTGGATCAGTTTAGATCGGATCAATTGAATTAGATCGGACATGAATACCCCTAGCCTAAAGGAAAGGCACGTGAAGAAACTAAAGACAATGATTTGGGTCCCACGTGCACATGAATTAATAAAAGCCCAAAAAGCTCGCCTCCAAGGACCAACCTCATAGTTCTGTCGAAGGCCGAAAAAACCCATAGGCCCGTAGGCTGGGAATTTAGTTCCCTGGCCCAAAGGTCTTGGGTTCAAAGGCAGCTTAAGCCTAAATGGTAAAAGAGATTCAGAGAAGAAGAAAAAAAAAATGTAGAAATAGGTTTATATATATATATATAAAGAAATAGGTAGTGTTAATTTAAGGCTACTATGTTATTTTCCTCCTATTTCAACTTGAATTTTTATAATTCAACTAACATAAATGGCCAAAATAACAACAATAATAATAATAATAACAATAATTATTCTTAAGTTCTAAGAGAGGGTTTGGCATGTGGAAGTTTGTGGTTAATAATTGGCAAGTTGAAATTTAAACTAATCAAGAGAATAAAAATGTTTACATTATAAATAATAAGGGGTTGTGAAAACTTAAGATATTTTGATAACTTAAATATCAAAAATGATAATTATAAGATTTAAACATTTTTTAATAAATTAATATGCAAAAAAGATTTATTAAAAGTA